AGCCCCCTTGCTCCCACCCGTGCCCACCCCAGCCGGAGAAGCGCGAGTCAACAAGTGAACAAGTTCTCCGCGGTGGGCAGAGCGGGGTCCCCCTGGGGTCAGCGCGGCTTTGCCGAGCCAGTGCCAGTGCGCTCCGATGGAAGGGTCCGCAGGAACACTTGCCAGGGAAGGGACAGGGCTCAGGACACAGCCAGGCGCCACTTCCGGTCCTCTCGGGGCCTGGCCCTCTCCTCCGCGAATGTGTTCCCTTGAGACGGTCGGGAGTGGCCAGCCCCGTCTCCAACCTGGCCGGACACAGACAGGGCCCAGAGAAGGAGCCCGGGCTGCCACCAACAGCAGGCTGAGCAGGACAGGGCCATGCCCCACAGCGGGCACCACAGCTCTGCCATCAGATTGAAGCCGCCCGAGACTCCACCCCACATACTCGCCCCCAAAGGAAGCATCCCTGACCTGAGCTCATCGGGAAGGGGACTCTGGCTCCTATCTTGCATATAAAAAACTTCAGAGTCCGTCAGTAAGTCAATCAACAAACACACGCTGTGCCTGCTGCAGAGTGGATAAGCTGTAAGCATTGGACACAGTGCAGAAACAAATTCTGAGCGGGGGAGGTGGGGAGTGTTCATGCTCACTGTAGGCAAGTGAAGCAGCCAACAGGTACAAAGGCCCTTGAACTTCTGTTTGAGTAGCCAGATAGCTACCCAGCACCCAGTGTCCTGCGCCGGGGCCCGGGGATACAGGGAGGAGAAAGGAGAGCGATCCTGGCTGCGCCTCTGGGGAAGCCTGCATTGGGCAGCAGAGCCCGGAAGGGTGAGGGAGGGCGAGGAGCACCCAGATGCGCTGTCACAGGTGCGCATGCGCTGCTGTTGGAGCGTCTCTGGACTCCCGGCTGCCACCAAAATCAAATGCAGACGCTGGGCGTGGTGGCGCACTCCGGTCACCCCAAAGCTCTGGGAGGCTGAGGCAGGAGGATGGTGGAGAATAGTTTGAGGCCAGCCTAGACTACATAGCAAGACCCGGTCACACACACACACACACACACACTCCACAGCTGAGGGTCTGGTCAGTGCCAAAGCACTTTTGCCTATAGATTTGCTCCCCAGCTCTGTGAAAATAAAAAAAAATGATATCCAACCTCCTCTCTCACCCCACAAGGCTCTGCACAAACTCCCACCCCTTGCTCACTGTGTGGGTCAGGTGATCCTGCCTCAGGGTCTTTGCACTTCCTGAGCCCTTTCCCTGGCTTTTTCTCATTCAGGTCTGAGCCCAAATGTCCCCTCCTCGGAAGGGGCCTTTGCTCCTAGCCACCAATTGGAGCCACTCCTCCCAAGCCATTATTTTGAACCGCCATCTTGTTCTGTATCTCTTCCCTGCTCCTGGGAGGGTATTTTTTATTTATTTAGAATTTCTTTTTTTTTTTTTTTTTTTTTTTTTGAGATAGGTTCTCACTATGTAGTTCAGGCTGGCCCTGAACTCTGTATATTGCTCAGGCTGGCCTCAAACTCACAGCCATCCTCCTGCCTCAGCCTCCCGAGTGCTGGGATGACAGGTGTGCGCCTGTGTTTTGGGTTGTCTGAGACAAGAGTCTCACTATGTTGCCCAGGCTGGCCTTGAACTCAGGTGAGGGCTGCCACCCCAGCTTTGGGAAGGCGCAGTATCTTTTTGAAATGATTATGCTTATCTTTGGGTTGTTCTGTTTCTTGGTCTCCCTCTCCAGGGTGTGTAGGGGCCGAGAGTGTCTTGGTCCCTGTGGGGCCTGAGTGAGACAAATGCACAAAATGTGAACAAGCAATGGGGTGAGGAAAAGAAATCAGATCTTTAGCTGCCGCCAGAAATCCCCGGCCACACTCCCTTCTTGGAGACCCTAAGGAAACCGGGCTTTCCCGCAGACAGCCGTGATCCCAAGGGTTCTCGATTCCGGGTTCTCGGGTCTGAGGGTCCTGTGCTCCCTGAACCGCAGTTCCAAATAATAACATCCCACCTGTGTGCCCCCTTCCACGCTGCAACTTCTGGGAGCTTCTCTGGGTTCTTTTGGTTTGGTTTTTGTTTCTTGAGACAGGGTCTCGTTGTGTAGTCCAGGCTGCTCTTGAACTCACTATGTAGCCCAGGCTGGCCTCGAACTCGCAGCGATCCTCCTGCCTCAGCCTCCTGAGTGCTGGGATGACAGGTGTGGCACCACGCCCGGCTTCTAGGAGCTTCTTTATCCAGAGTCCCGATCTCTCTACCCTCAGTGCCCTTTCAGACGATAGATAGAGCGAGCGCCTCCCTCCTCCCTCCCCTCCCCCTCCCCAGTACCTTCCAGATTCAGGGGCCCTGATTCTCAGAGGAGCACAGTGCTCTTTCCTCCTTTATGGCCCCCAGGGCCAGGCCAAGTAAGCAAGCCACAGTCGCCTTGCTACGAGCCCAGCCACTCTCCAGTCTGGACCACAAGCCACCCTTCCCTCAGAGACCTTCAGGTTCTATCTGGCTCCCCCTCATTCTAAATCCTGCCATAGCTCACTATTGCTTCGGGGACAAGTTTCCAGCTGTTCAGGACAGAAGGCGATGTTCCTTTTGTTCCCAGCTTCCCATCCCTTGTTGACACTCTGCCTCTCTGCTCCAGCTCTGTTGGAATCAGGTCCCCCTCCCTCTCCTTGTACTGGGGATTGAACACAGGACCTTGACATTGAGCTACATCACCAGGTCTTTTTATTCTTTTTGTTTTGTTTTTTTTGGTTGTTTTTTTGAGACAGGGTCTCACTATGTAGTTGAGACTGACCCGGAACTCACTATGTAGCCCAGGCTGGTCTCGAACTCAAAGCGATCCTCCTGCCTCAGCCTCCCAAGTGTTGGGATCACAGGCATGCGCCACCCCGCCCAGCTTCATCCCCGGGTCTTTTTATTAGTTTTGTTTTCAGACAGGGTCTCCCTAAGTCACTCATTTGCCTAGGCTAGGCTGGAACTTGGATGCTCCTGCCTCAGCCTCCCAGAAAAAGTACCAGGATTGCACACAGGCAACCTGGCTTCTCCGGGCTGTCACCTCTTCCTGGAATTCCCTCCCTCTATTTTTCAGCCTGGTGAAAATCCCTGCTTTCAAGGCCAGCCCCACAGCCACCTCCTCCAAAAGCCTCCGGTCTCCAGGCTCACAGATAAAGGCCATTTATCCCATCACCACCTCCTCACACTGCAGAAAGGACCCAGCCTCAGGCCTTGCCAGGAGGGGACCTGCAGGGCTTGGGGAAGGAGAGGCGCGTGCCGGGGCCCCCACCGTCGTTGCGAGGACAAAGACAGGAGCTAGGGCTGCGGGGGAGGGGCTGCCTGGCGCTGGGGTCCCCGCTCTTCTTTCCGGGCCCCTCAGCCAGGCAGCTCCACAGGGAGGCCAAGCATGGATTTGTGGCTTGCCAGGGAAGCCACAGACCACACACACCTTCCCTGGTGACTGCGCTGCCAGTTTTTTCATGCCCAGCTTTGGGTGGGATTTGGGGACTCGGCCTAGGGCGGCCTGTGCAATGCTGGGGGACCCCAAGCAGCCAGGACTGCTAACTCCGGCCTAGCAGGAAGCAGGGGGAGGACCCCAGGCTGGAGTTGGCAACCGGGACGGATTCCAGCTTCGAGAGCCCGGAGCCAGACCCCGCCTGCGCCGGGGCGGGGGACGGGCTTCTGGGTCTACCGACCCCGGCCTCAATTTCCCCATCTGCAGAATCGGAGAGATTTGCAAAAATGAGGAAAAGCTGCTTCCAATGGTTTTCTTTCCACTACAGAGAAAGGCTCAGCCCCTGGTTCCCAGCTGAGTTTTTATGATGTGGATGTGGGTTTTAAAAAAAAAGAGAAAGGAAAAAAAAAAAAAAGAAAAAGAAAAAAAGCTGAGAAACAGCCTGGGACCCTGGATTGCTCAGACCACCTTAAATCAGCCTCGCTGCCCCTGCTACTGTGGAAATTCCTTTCTCCGCGGTGGTTGGCTAGGGGTGCCAGCCAATCCACTTGCGGTGCTCCCACATGGGTCCATGACGTCACAAGAAGCGATGGCCAATGGAGACCAAGACATCGGTAACCAATGGTAGGGGGCGATCAGATCACCTAGGCCAATCAGAAGGCGGCCAGGGGCTCCCAGCGGGGTCCGGCGAGTTTGGCTCCCCCTCCCCTCCAGCAGACCCTCGTGGACCCCCGAACTCGGCTGAACGGGAGGGGGATGCGGCGCGATTGCTGTCCCAAAACCAGGAGGCATCCGCAAAGGCTGGCGGATCTCCCCTTAAAAACAAGGATCTCTGTGCTCACTTAAAACCCCGCCCGCCTCACGAGCGCAGAAGTTGCGCTTTTGGCTCTATTTTACAGATAGGTAAACAGAGGCCCGGAGCAATGAAATCAGGCTGGACACCCAAGGAAGAAGTGAGACTCAACCCGAGCTGAGAGGCTCCTGGCCCGGGCTCACCACTGTCTCCAGATAGAGGAGGGATGGGCATACTTTGCGGTGGGGGGGCGTTCTGGAATCGATGCCTCAGTTTCCCCGAGCGCAGACTACAGAGGAGACAGGCACTAAGGTTCTGGGAAAGGACTACAAGTCCCAGCAGCGCCCGCGCACCGCGCTGCCTCGGTCTGTCAATCAAAGTAACGTGGGTCCCGCAGTCTGCAACCCGCGCCCCCGCCCGCGC